CTAGCAGGAGCCGGGCCAGGGGCAGCGAGAAGCAGCTGGAGCAGCTAGAAAATATCCTTTCCCCGGCTGAGACAGGAGCCCGGGCTCTCGTTCCATCATCTTCAAAAGCTCTGGCAGGGCCCAAACCCTCTGTTTCCCCCTGGGTTGCGCTTTCTCATGAAAGACTCTCATTCTTCCAACACGAGACAAGAGGAAGAAACCTCCCCCCGGCTGCTTCGTGTCCGGCGGCATCTCCCTGGGATGGAGTGGGAAGGAGCGAAGGGGAGCGATGGGTGCAGACCCACATGAACCAACATTGGGTCAACTCCGGAAGAATCGGTCACAAATCATGAAAATGGGGGTTGGCACATGTGCGCGCAAGGCAGGGACTTCTCCGAGCCCTTCCCCACCCCGCTGAACCAGTCTGGGGCTTTCTGCCCTGTGTGGCATCGCCGGACCATGGACCCCAACTCCCAAGCAGAGACATCCCAACGGGACCCAGCACAGGGCTCCGGGCACCCAACAGCGGGTCAAGCACCTGCGAGCGCTCCCAAAGTCATCCCTGAGCACGGAAGAACGACACTGTCAGGAGCAGACAGCAAGAAGGGAGGGAAATCCATGCACAAATGCATTCGCAGCGTGGCCCGGCTCCTCAGCTGGAGTGTGCGAGCGGCGGTGGAGCCGGGCCAACTCCCGGCAGCTGAGATTTGGGGCGGGGGGGGAGAAAAGAGGGAGTGTTTTCCAGAGGTGAGAACAGCAGCCCAACGCAGGCACGGAGAGAGCAGCCGAAGGGGGTTGCCAACCCCAACCGCAGCTGGCGAGACCCTCTGCGACCCTCAGCACCCGTCACCGGCACGGAGTCCGAGCGACGGCATGGCACAAGGCGGGAGATGCTGCGGGGGTCCATGGTGGAGGTGCAGGGGGCAGCTCGCTGGCCTCCCCCCGGCTTTTTGAGACCGCTTCACGCCGCATCGTGGCTAACAGTCCCCACCTACCGGTCTGCGATTTCTTGCTGACCTGTGGCTGGACACACCGGAGGCGAGCGTGGGCGCGCAGATGCTCGCCGCGAGGACACAACCCACTGTGGACTCATGGTCCCCCATGCCCTCGCCACCAGTGATGGGATGGAGGACGCGATTCCGCCGTGGGCTGACTTGCCCGTCGCTTTGCTCTTTGCCAATGGGGCCACACACCATGAATTTTCCTTCCCCCGTGAAAATATAAAAGAGGGAGCGAGAAGGAAAAGGCGTCGGATGGAAAACACCCCCGGCTGCCTGCTGGGGGGAGTGGAACCAGTTAATTTCATGCGTCTCCTTCTTGTTAGAGTGGGGTCCCTCCTCACCTGCTCCTGGGCACGGTTTCCTGCGCCCCGCGCCAGCAACAAGGAATCTGACTCCAGTTTAAAGGCGAGGAGCTCGTCCACGGTTTGTAGCCCGGCTCCCATCCCAGGAGGGGACCCGCTTGGAGTCTCTGCCCGCGGCGGGCAGCGTTTGCCAGCTGTCTGCACCCATCTTGTGCCCTGCCCCCTCCCTCCGTGCCGGCCCATGGCGGGGGGATGCGGACAGCCCCGTGCTGGGGGTCTCGCCCCCCGGGCAGCGCCATCCCCGGGGTTTCCCTGTTCGCACCCAACCGCCGCTCCATCACCGCCGGGTGTCCGGGGGCGAGCGGCTGCCAGCACCCTGACTCAGCGCTGAGACCCGGGGCTCCATATGGAAAATGTTGGAGAAAGACACCCCCTGACACGCCATCCGGGGGGGCACTGGGTGGCTTGGCCCTGGCCGGGGCGGGGGGGTTGCTTCTGGGTCATCAGCGCTTCCGCCTATCCCAAAGGCTGCTCGGTGCTGGGCTCCCATCGCTCAGCCCTTCCCTCTCGTCCTGCCGGCCCCCGACACCCCTCTGCCCACCCTGGGACCCCGAGATGCCCAACTGCCCGCTGAGGACACCGCGCAAGCCCCCCAAATCCCATCGCCCGGGCCATGCGGCCATGGCACACGTTCTGCCTCCCACGCCGGCCCGGAGCATCCTCGGCACGACTCCCTCTCAGGCAGCGAACTGAGAACACCATCCCTCTCCCCTCCGTTTAATGAGCCGAGCCCGCAGAGCGCGGCATCTCCCTCCAGCACCCAGCATCGCCGCGCTGCGCAGGGGTCACCCCCAATTTAGGGACAGGCGGGGGCCA